TTGAAGCAGATGGGCTACAGCAGCAGAAGACTGCACCGGGTGCCACTCCTGTCAGCTAATAGGAAATGGAGGCTACAATTCACACAGGCTTACCAAAATTGGACAATTGAAGATTGGAAAAACGTTGCCTGGTCTGATGAATCTGGATTGCAGCTGTGACATTCAGATGGTAGGGTCAGAATTTGGGGTAAACAACATGAAAGCATGGATCCATCCTGCCTTGTATCCACAGCTCATGGATGTGTGGCCGACAAATCTCCAGCAACTGTGTGATGCTATCATGTCAATATGGACCAAAATCTCTGAGGAATATCTCCAACACCTTGTGGAATCTATGCCATGAAGAATGAAGGCAGTTCTGAGGCAAAAAGGGGATCCAACCCGGTACTAGCAAGGTGGACCTAATAAAGTGGGCCGGTGAGTGTTTCAATGGCCCCTGGTGTCTTCTGATATACAGAGGAGATATTGTTCTAACAACCAAACCTTACTCGTCAACTCTGTAAAAAGAGAAACAGTAAAGCTGAGTAGCTAATCAGCAGGGAGGACTGGAAATCTTTGGTCTTGGGGGGCAAACACAAGTCATAAAATAGCAGCATAGGAAGCAGAAAGAAGATGGACAGGAAGCACCAAACTAACAGAACCTCCAGTTGGTGGAGAGCATGTGGGCAAGAACAGCATGGAGGTGACCAGAAGTAATCTAAAGCCAAACCAATAGATAGCTTGTGGCTATACATACCGTACACTAACTTCTCCTTTCCTCCTCATTTGCTCCCGGAGCTCTCCTTTAACCATTTGCCCTCCGGAAGATTTACCCCCCGCTGCGACACTTTAACTGACAATTGCGCGGTCATGCAAAACTGTACACAAATGAAATTTTTATATAATTGTTTTTCACACAAATAGAGCTTGGTATTTGATTATCACTGTGTTTTTTTTTAATTTTTTGCACTAAAATGAAAAAAGAATGAAAATTTAGAAAGAAAAAAAAAAACAGGTATAGATTCCAGAGAGATATCCATATTACCCCGGTACAAATCATTAGTAAGACCTCATCTGCAAAATGCAGGTCAGTTTTGGACCAATTCAGAAAAAGAACATTGGGGAACTGGAGAAAGTACAGAGAAGGGCAACCAAACTGATAGAGGCATGGAGGAGATCAGCTATGAGGAAAGATTAGAGGAACTGAATTTATTCTCTCTTGAGAAGAGGAGATTAAGGGGGATATGATCTCCATGTATAATACATAAGGGGGGATATGATCTCCATGTATAATACATAAGGGGGGAATATGATCTCCATGTATAATACATAAGGGGGGATATGATCTCCATGTATAATACATAAGGGGGATATGATCTCCATGTATAATACATAAGGGGGGATATGATCTCCATGTATAATACATAAGGGGGATATGATCTCCATGTATAATACATAAGGGGGGATATGATCTCCATGTATAATACATAAGGGGGGATATGATCACTCCATGTATAATACATAAGGGGGGATATGATCTCCATGTATAATACATAAGGGGGGATATGATCTCCATGTATAATACATAAGGGGGATATGATCTCCATGTATAATACATAAGGGGGGATATGATGTCCATGTATAATACATAAGGGGGGATATGATCTCCATGTATAATACATAAGGGGGGATATGATCTCTATGTATAATACATAAGGGGGGATATGATGTCCATGTATAATACATATAAGGGGGGGGGATATGATCTCCATGTATAATACATAAGGGGGGATATGATCTCCATGTATAATACATAAGGGGGATATGATCTCCATGTATAATACATAAGGGGGGGGGATATGATCTCCATGTATAATACATAAGGGGGGATATGATCTCCATGTATAATACATAAGGGGGGATATGATCTCCATGTATAATACATAAGGGGGGTATGATCTCCATGTATAATACATAAGGGGGGGGATAAGGGGGGTATGATCTCCATGTATAATACATAAGGGGGGATATGATCTCCATGTATAATACATAAGGGGGGATATGATCTCCATGTATAATACATAAGGGGGGATATGATCTCCATGTATAATACATAAGGGGGGGATATGATCTCCATGTATAATACATAAGGGGGGATATGATCTCCATGTATAATACATAAAGGGGGATATGATCTCCATGTATAATACATAAGGGGGGGATATGATCTCCATGTATAATACATAAGGGGGGATATGATCTCCATGTATAATACATAAGGGGGGATATGATCTCCATGTATAATACATAAGGGGGATATGATCTCCATGTATAATACATAAGGGGGGATATGATCACCATGTATAATACATAAGGGGGGATATGATCTCCATGTATAATACATAAGGGGGGATATGATCTCCATGTATAATACATAAGGGGATATGATCTCCATGTATAATACATAAGGGGGGATATGATCTCCATGTATAATACATAAGGGGGGATATGATCACCATGTATAATACATAAGGGGGGATATGATCACCATGTATAATACATAAGGGGGGATATGATCTCCATGTATAATACATAAGGGGGGGATATGATCACCATGTATAATACATAAGGGGGGATATGATCTCCATCATAAGGGTGGTTCATATAGTGAACTCAGTGTAGAGGTCACCCTGAGGTTATCACAGATACATAAGGGGGCACTATAATTTAAGGGGAGGAAAAGCGATTTAATGTCCAAACAAGGGGGGTTTCTCTCACAGTATAAGAGCTGTGAGGATGTGGATATGACTCCCTCATGAGTTGGTTGTACTCAGGGGGATATGATCTCCATGTAGGAATACCTGGATTGTTTCTTGGATACACTATAACTGGATATAACATTTATAGGTAAAGTTGATCCAGGGAATATCCATTGCCTCTCGGAATACAAAGGGGGTCAATCTCCATTTTTTTTCCATGCAGGAGCAAATTGGATCGTGCTTTTTTTTTTTTTTTGCCTTCCTCTGGATCACGTGTGGGTGTAGGATTATAACTTCTTTTTTTTTTCTATGGTTGAACTGGATGGACTTTTGTCTTTTTTCAGCAGACTAACTATGTAAGCTGCTGCAGCACTTTTTGAATTTATTGCCAGGTGCGTATTTACCCCAAGGCAAACAAGTCACGGGCCTAGGGCGGCATTTTTCAGGGAGGGCACTACTTCCCCCCCAGAAGAAGAGATGGAAGAAGGGACACGCGTGCCATGGGAACCAGGGGGGATCTGAGAGAGGCTGCGGGCTGCTTGATGGTGTATGTAGAGCCTGACTCTCGTTCCCAGGGATGTCCAGAGCTGTGAAGATGAGTGTCTTTCTCTCTATTGCCGGGGGGGGGGGTTGGTTCATGTCAATGTGGGGCAGACGATCTTTATGTTGCCCAGGGCAGCACAAAACCTAAATACACCACAGCTGACTGTGAAGTCTGATGTGTGGTTCAGATACTCACACCATGGGGAGTGGACAATTTTTTTTCCCCTTCCCGTTCTGTGTAGACCTTGCTGTGGATGTTGGCCTTTATAGCCGGCTATGGCATCCCATCTTGGCTCTCTGTGGGTTTTTGGCCATTCACTGCAAGAATGAGGGTCCCCCGGGGCAGATTTCTTCTAGAATTGGATTGCATGGGTATTCACACCTATGTGATCCGATTCTGCACATCGCACCGCATTTTGTGGACCGATTTCGGGGTGTTGTTAACTTAACATACACACCCGCAGCGGTTCGCATGAACGGGGTGCGATTCTGATGCAGTGCAAAATTCGCACAGAAAACTCTGCGAATTCAGCACCGCATCAGTGTGAACCAGGGCTGAAACTGTGTACACCCTTCCTGTGGGGGGGAGAGGAGGATCACTTTACCCAAACGGAATCAAATGGGGGATTTTAAGCAAAGAGCGGGATCAAACTCTGATCTGGCTCTAAACGAGGGAGAGGAGGAATTGGCTTGTAATTAGGTACATAACACTCCAGGTTGGTGTCCTATCCTAGATCCAGTTTACACACTGCTCAGATACCCATGGCCGTCCACAACTCACCCCCACAATGTCATCCACAAGTATAAGATCAACCAAACCAATAGCTGGTAACTAACTGCTAAAACTGCATAGACCATCAACCAATGAGGATTTATGATCTTTATTCACGCTCCTTATGGTTGTTGTTTTCTGTATGTCGGCCGCAATAAAGTTCCATTGTGGGAGATAAAATTTGTTGTTCTTTAGTATTTTTGTTAAGAGACAATGCAGTCTTAAACTCACAAGCAACTCACCCTCTTTCCTTTTGATAATGGGGAATGGACACCAAACTCCATTGAGGTCCAACCTTCAATCCAGCTTCTCCAGTTCATCAAGACATTCTAAGTTCTTCCACTGGTACTTCGATCGCCATGTTACACAAGCTAGCCAGGTCTCTGTCCATCCTTATGGTCACCCTCCTCAAGCAGCAGGCCTAGGAGGATCTGGCCACCAATACATCTCTCCCCCAGGCAGGAGGTCCAGGAGACAACTGCCTTCCCAAGGGCATTCCTAAATATTTATTCCCTCTGTCATCCTGCACCACTGGTGATAAAACTTCTAGTGGTTGGCCAGGAATACAAATATTCATTATTCTGATTAGTGCAGCCTCTCACACTCTTGTTAGAAGAACCAGTGATACCTACAGGCAGTAGGCAGAAGCAAACACTAATCAGAGCCCAGGGAAGACCCTAGTGGGCTACAGCTTCACACATTTTTAAATGCACACCTGCTTAGTGTAACTATCCTACAAAACGTTTTGTTTTTGTCTGTGTCCTTGTTTGTGATTGTCAAAGCAGGAATTGAGGGGAAATCTCTAAAGGGGGTACAGTAACACAGAAAGGAGTTATGGTCATTGTGCAACGTGGGGAAGAGCCAACCAGATGAAACTAAGTAAGGAATTTAACAAAGTCAGTCATTTCTCAGTTAGTCATTACAAGGAGCTGGGCTGTACAACTGGAGGAATATTGACCTCTGTCATAGTCTGTTTCTGTTAGTCTCTTCCAGAAAGATGGGATTCTCCACAATCCTCGCTCTGTTGGTCACTTTCATCATCACCCTCCACTTTACCATATCATGGTGGAGACAGCGCAGACGGAACAGGTCACTGCCCCCCGGACCCACCCCGCTGCCTTTCTTGGGCACCCCACAATATATGAATCAGCGAACAGCCGATAAAAACTATCCTGTGGTAAGTTGAGCTTCAATCTATAATCTGGCCCTTATACTGGGGATGTACTGCTTGATTCCCAGCCAGCTAGTGAGGTAGACAAGGGATTCGTCCACATAGATATTTTGGTCAGGGAAATACACTTCAGCAAATCTCTTGGGAAAAAAAAATTATTCAATGGGCAGATTTTGTAGAGCTTATCATAGCCAGGCTGATCTCGGGGAGGGCACAGTGAATTATCGCTGAAATGCAGGAAGTGCAATTAACCTTTTCCATTTAGCCATTTATAATGTGTATGTCACCTATCACAAGACTACAAAAAGACCCACCATCTTTCTCAAATTTATAGACAATATCATCACTGCCCCGATCTACCAGCAAGCATCTCCACCAGAAAACATTTGCTCTGATTCTGTGAGAAGACGAGTGACATTTTCCAAAGAACATTCCACTCACAGAAGCAGGCCGAAGACAACAAATGTTAGATATGCAGCAGTAGGGGAGTTAGGAGAGACACCAGGGGTCTCATATACTGTATGTAAGGGGCTTCAGAGGGGTGTTCTGAGTAGAGAATACCAGTTTTTGGTTTTCTCCAGGTTTTGTAATTCCCAATTCAGGGTCTGGAGGCTTTGAAAAGATTAGGTGGGAAGAAGACTACCCCTGTGCCCAGGTCTTACCTGACCAAGGCACTAAGCCTGATGGTGCTGCCTGGACCAATACTTTGGCTGTACTGACCCAGGCCTTTTTATGGACCATGTTTCTGCCTGCTTCCTGGATGTTAGCCTGCTGCCTGTACTGACCCTGGCCTGTTTATAGACCATATACCTGCCTGCTGCCTGGAGAATTCCTTTGGCTGGCTATTGCTGACCACATCTTTGCCTGCTTCCTGGACCAATGCTCTCCTCCCTCTGTAGACAACTGTTCTACTAAGACCATTATTGCGGCCGAGAAAATAACAACCAAAAGTCTCACAGATGTGCTATTGCCATAATCAAGTGGAGTAGCAGAAAGTATTTTGGGGGTGGGGGGGTAATTCTTGTATGTCCATGTTGTGTGTTAGAAATATCTAAATTGACTTTGTTGAAAAAAATAAAATAAAATACATTTTAATTATCTTTCCACATTTTCCAAAAACTTGTAGAAAACAAATGACATGTTCAAAAGACTCATTATGCCTCATAAAATATACCTTGGGGTGTTTGCTTTTTAAAACTGGGTCATTTTGTGGGTGTTTCCACTGTCCCGGTGCTCCAGGGCCTTCAAAGGTGTGATAGGTAGTCAGGAAATTGGATGTGCAATTTATAGTATATCCCTAGAACAGTGTTTTCCCAACCTTTGTTCAGTTAAGGCACCCTTTAGAAGTATGCACAATCTCCAGGCACCCTGTTCTAAAATATAAAAAAATGGTACCATAGCTTGTAGACTCTATAACTTTCACACAGAAATACCAAATAACCAAAGTTACCAAATAATATACCCTGATTTGGGTTATTTTTTTTTACAAAGAAATGTAGCAGTATAAATTTTGTCCTAATTTTATGAAGAAAAAAATACTTATTTGCAAAATTTTATATTAGAAACTATGAAAAAAAAAATTTGTTTCACATTGTTCTGAATTTGAGACTTGTGCTGGGAGGGGGATTTCAGCAGGGGGCAGATTTGTACTGAGAGGAGGGGAAATTTATGCTTAGCATGCAGATTAGTGTTCGATTTATTATGAGAGGAGGAGAGGATTTTTGCTGGAAGGGGGAATTTGGGGTGCAACAGGGGGTAAGAATTGTTCTAGAAGGGGAAATTTAGGGAGTAGTAATGTAGGGGGTTTTGTGCTGGGAGGCAGGATGGGGGAAGTGGATTTGTGCCAGGAGGGGGGATTTGGGGGGTTTGTGCTAAAAAAAAAAAAGGTCTTATGGCAGGGGGGAGAAGATTTGTGCTAGGAAGGTATATTCTTTGATGGGGGTTGTGCTAGTAGGGATGATTGGGTGATATTTATGATGGGAGGGGAAATGTTTTTGGGGAGGGGGATTTGTGCTAGGATGGAGGATGGTGAGAGGGGAATTTGAGCTCGGAAGGGCGATTTGGAGTGGGATGAAGAGGATTTGTTCCAGGAGGAGAAATTTGAAGAGCAGTGGATTAGTGCCAAGAGGGAGAAATTGTTTTTATTTGGAGGGGGATGATGGGGTCATATGGGGAGAGAGAAGATTTGAGCTAGGGGGGATGGGGGGGCAAATATTTTGTGCTGGGAGAGGGGATTTCAGCAGGGGGAGGGGGAATTTTCGCTTATCATGCAGATTAGTGTTAGTGGGGGGGATTTTTTCTGACACAATGCTCATACATCTTGGGGGGGGGGGGGTGCAATTTGGCATATTCGCCGTGGGCTCTAGATGACCTTGTCTCGGCACTGACCCAAGGGATCACTGAACAGTGATGATAAAAACACGTCACCCTAGGGGGACGTCCACTCACTACCATGCAGCAGGCCCAGGGACATCTTGCTTGACAGCATCACAGGCGCCATTTTTCACAGATATTGAAGCCATTCAACCATAAAAAGGTCACAGGCTGGGGTAAAATATGGAAGCCCAAAGATGTACAGGAAGATGCAAAGATTAGTGCCCCCAGACTATAATGCTGCCTCTGTGCTCACCCTTGGGGACATCTGAGGGATATGCTTTGTTCATATTTCATGTCAGAGATTTACAACCACTTTTAAATAATGGGTTTAGCTGCTACCTATCATTAGAAGGTGACACCAAGGCACGGGCTAGGGGTGTGTTGTAAGTCTGTTCCTACAGCAGAAGAATTCTTGTCATTGTGACCTCTGACTACCTTCATTTCTTTCACCTATGACAGCTCAGACAAAAGTACGGCTCAATATTTACCATCTGGAAACTGACGGAGCCGGTGGTGGTCCTCTGTGGTTATGAGGTGGTGAAGGATGCCCTGCTGAACCACGCCGAGGAGTTCAGTGCCCGCCCATTTATACCCACAGTGCACATCCCCACCAAAGGATACGGTAAGATTGCCAGGACACTCTCGGTTGAACATACTTGGGTTCGGTTCATGGGGGGGCCATTGAATTTAACTGAAGTTTGAGCGTGAATCCAAACCCTACTGAGGTCAATAGAAGCCTGTAAAAGCAGTTTTCCGCACTTTCAAGGGTAATAGAAAAGGGATTGTGTGTGGTAGCTGGGCACTGCGAAGGGGGATTTGCACCAACACAAACATTATCTTTTACAATGACCATAAGGCGGGAAGCAGCTATTTTAATATTGCTTACAGTGAAGGCTTAAAAACACAAAATTCCTATAAATAACATGCCTGAGGGATGCCCTAAACCTGCCCTAGAGAAATGGTGCACCTGAACCCCTTACACTTCAACACAACACAAACAAGTGGACTGTTCATGTTGAGTACTAATTAGATTCTTTTTTTTTATATTTATTTCCATTTGTTATGTTTTATTACCTGTTTATACACTCTCACCGGCCTCTTTATTAGGTACACCTATTCAATTGCTTGGTAACACAAATTGCTAATCAGCCAATCACTTGGCAGCTTCAAAAACTGCTGATCTACTGGTATTTTCACACACAACCATCTCTAGGGAAATCGAGATTCATCAGACCAGGAAACGTTTTTTCAAATCTTCTATTGTCCAATTTTGGTGAACCTGTACAAATTGTAGCCTCCGTTTCCTGCTCTAAAACTCATGGAACCAGTTGTGGATTTAGTGTATGCCCTAAAAACCTTCACCTGATTCCTGAGGGTGTATGTCTTATGCCCTGTTCCTCCTCCTCCAATGCAGATACCTGGCAGTGATTACTGGTAATCCCAGCTGTCAGTATGATCTGTATCAGTATCTATATGCAGGGCTGCTGTTAGGTGTCACAGGGGCCCCGTATAGCCAATGTGACAGGGCCCTAAATAAGACAGTTTACTAGGCTTCAGTTATGAGTGAACACAGTGAGTGATCGGTACCAATCACTCATTTTGTTCATTCTGGAAAGGAAAGGGCTGGTAAATGTGACATATTTATGGACCTTTCCTCACTCCTCATGTTAAGGATCCTATTGTGTGCCTGCAGCTGCCGGTGGGAAGGAGAGGAGGGAAGCCGGCAGCACTGCGGAGGTGGGGGGGGGGGGGCACACAGGATGGTTTGAGCAGCATGGGGAAATGTATGGTGTACTGGGAGGTGCTTGGGAAGCATCTTCTTGGCAGAGATATCCAGTCGGGGAGTCTGTCACACTGGAAAGTGCAAAATCTGGTGCAGCTCTTCATGGAAACCAATCGCTTCCAGATTTTTTGTCAAACCTTAACTGAACAAGCTGAAGTTAGAAGCTGATTGGCCGCCATGCACAGCTGCACCAGATTATGCGCTCTCCAGCTTTAGTAAATCAACCCCCTTGCATTCATCATATGAAACCATTGAAATCAGATATATTGGGGTTGATTTACTAAAACTGGCCGCCATGCACAGTTGCACCTGATTTTGCACTCTCCAGTTTCAGATTGAATCCTTTGTATTTGTCCCCTTTGATTGGTAAGGACACTCCCATGGAGATCGTGGCTTGGTATACCTTATAGATGGAGCTGCAGTTTGTAACTTATTGCTGATGATGATTCACTTCTTCAGGTTTTAATGGCCCCCGATGGCGTCCTCTGCGCCGCTTTGCCATCTCCTTCCTGAGGGACTTTGGGATGGGGAAGAAGACCATGGTATCCCGCGTGCTTGAGGAGACAACGTATCTCACCCAGGCAGTGGCTGAGACAGAAGGTAGGAGAAATCTTTTTATTTCTTAAAATTTTTATTGCAAAATTGACTGCACGAAAAAAATGGGAATCTTGCATGTTCAGAGAACCTAAAGGGGACCATATGGTCACTAAACTGTGGCCAATGGGCTGGATACAGCCATTTGCTTGCCTTTATCCAGCCTTTGTGTCAGTATTCCTCTCACTGACACCAAAGAGAAGGTGACATTCTTTCCACTGACATCAATGACGGAGCACAATTCCTTCACAGACACCAATGATGGGGCACTATGTATTTTTTTTTACTTCCACTGACCACAAATCCTGAAGCCTTGTTTATTCCCCACTAATGCCAGGACATTTTCTATTCCCACTGGGCACAGTCCAGCACCCCTAAAGTCTGAAGGACCATAATTTGGCCCTTTGCTTAGAAAGTTTTGGAAACTCTGGTCTAATATTTGTGGGTCACTGGCTGGGAATGATGGCTGTGCTTCATTCAGCTACTCCCAGCAGTAGAACACTACCTTGTGCATGAGTCTGCGTTGAGTAATGCAAATCCATATTGGCAATTACTGAGCTGGCCAGAACTAGTTCTTGAGGGACGAATTTCCACAGCTCTTACTGTGAAGAAGCCTTTCCATTTATGTGGAGGTTACATTTCTTTCCTCCAGCTGTAAAGAGTTCCCCCTTGTCCTCTGTAATGACCTGAAAGCGAATAGCTCTACACCGAGTTCACTGTATGGACCATTTATGTATTTATACATATTGATCAAATCCCCCCTTAATCTCCTCTTCTCAATAGAGAATAAATTCAGTTCCTCTAATCTTTCCACATTAGCCGAGCTCTTCCATGCCGTCTATCAGTTTGGTTGCACATTCTCCAATTCTCCAACATCCTTTTGATGAACTAATGGTGTCCAAAAACTCACTCTCTCGCTGTCTGTCAGGGAATGCCTGAATGATTAATTTAGTCGGCTAAATCGATTGAATCACAGTGCCTCCAATCCAAAAACAATTTATAAAAAAAATTTAACTGACTTAATAATTATTCTGAGTAAATTTTAGCCAAGCAAAAATTCTTTAAGAACACAACAAGACTGGTGTAAGTATAGACCACGGATTATCAAAAAATAAATAAATATTTATCAGTGAAAATGTGGAATAGACTCCCTCAAGAGTTGGTTCTGGGGGGGGGGGGCAGCTCAGTGGATTGCTTTAAAAATGTCCTGGATTATTTTCTTTAGATACACAGAATATAACTGGATATAACATTTACAGGTCCAGTTTGATCCAGGGAATATCTGATTGCCTCTCGGGCGATCAGGAAGTAATTTTTTCCCCTGTAGGAGCAAATTGGATCATGCTTTTCTGGGTTTTTTGTCTTCCTCTGGATCAACTGTGGGTTGTAGGATTATAATTTTTTTTTTTTTTTATGTTTGAACTGGATGGACTTTTGTCTCTGTTTACTGCGCGGATGTAATATATGGAACATATGGAATATTGTAAGATAACAAATAACAGCTACCACCGAGGTTCAATAATATGATACACTGATTTATTATTCATGAGTGATATAGTGTCGCACCTTCTTGTATATTTATTCTTGAGTAGGATAATATATCACCATTATGTATTGTACGTTGGGTGAACATATCCGCCACCCCCCTTATGTATTATTAATATGGTGATCATATACCCAGATGGATTATACATGGAGTTCATATCCCCCCCCCTTATGTTATTATACTTGGAGAGGATCATTCCCCCCTTAGTTTTATACATGGAGATCATACCCCCCTT